CCCCCCCCCCCCCCCCCGGCCATCCTGTTCCTCTTGCTGTTGTTTCTGAGGTGAAAGCAAAGATGTGGTGCTGGGCATGAGGTAAAGTGTAGCTCACAGTGGAAGAAACAGTCTCAGTGGAAGAAAAGTGGGCTGTGGGTAGAAGTCGGCTTGCTGTTGGTGAATGTCCTGTCTCATCCCAGCACCTTTTGAGTCCCTGTCTCTGCTTCCCTCGGTGAGTTCTCTCTCAAGAGCACCTCTCCCTGGCGGTCTTTGGGACCTGCCCTGTTTTGCCTCATCAGCAATCTCTGCTTCCTCTACTGCTTTCTCCAGTTCCCTGGCATGGCTCTTGGCACTCTCTCTTCCTCAGCTCCTCAGTGGCTCACCCTTCACACAAATGCTTATCTTTACTCCCTACTTATTAATGGAACCTCCTCAGGGGACGGAGGGAACAAATCTAAATTGGCGTTCGTGCCCCTTTCCTTTCTCACCGGTTCTCTTCGTAATGATTTAGCTAGCAGTGCTGCTGGTCCTAGGTGCTCCAGGTTTGAGGTTCTTGGGGCACCTTCTTTGTCACAGCTCAATCAGTCTCCCAGTTCTCTGTTGTCTTGAGAGTGACTTTAATGCTACCGTGACTCTGGTAAAGGGCCAGCCCTCAGCTTTTTATTCAGGCTCCTGCTTGGGCTTTTTGCCAGATGTGCACTTTGCCCTTTCCTTTCTTCTACCCAGTGTGAAGACTGAGATGAGCAGTGCCTTCCTGGCTTCAAAGTGCATCTCAGGGCCAGCTCTGGTGGTGCAGGTCTTTAATATGTGCCCTAGGGAGACAGGCAAGTAGGTCTCTATGAGCGCCAGGCCATCTTGGTTTATCTGTATGGTGAATTCCAGGCCAGCCAGGCTTGTATGTAAAAAGAATAAAAAGTGTACCTCAATCCAGTGACTTCCTCAGCTTGATGTTCAGTGTCTGTCAGTGTAATCTAACCATACTTTTTCTTACTCTACTGGAGATGGGCACTTTTGTCCATTATCAGCACATCCTCTCTACCCTAGCGTTTCTCGTGGTAGTCTTTCCACTTTATGGCGGCTAGGCCTTATATTTTACCCTAGTCCTCATGGCGTTGTGGAATGTCGTTTGAAAGCAGGCATTCTGTGCAGTCCTCCTCACGTCACGTGAAGATCCGGATTGGCCTGAAGTCTCGTGGTGTTTCCGTTAACTGAATGACTACAGGACACAAACAGCATTTTTATCTGTTGCTTAATTTGAACATTAAAATCTCACGCAAGATTCTTACCTGGTTTTCCGCACAGAATCTTACAAACACAGAGTGCCACTGCACAAACCCACAGACTTCGAGAGGAAGATACTGTTGTGGTCAGGACGCTTCAAGAAGGAGGAAGAAATCCCGGAGACAATCTCGTGAGTGTTGGCAGGGTCCTACACAGCCTGAGTTTCTCACTGGTCTTTGACAGGGAAAGTAGAGTGCATTTGAGCTCTGTTTAAAATCTTCTGACCAGATTTAGAAACATTCTTCATTCTCTACATGTTTTCATGTTGGCAAGTACCCAGAACAATGACTGCTGGGAACCTATCTGTGTGTTACCTAGGTGGACCTGTGTGCTGCTGAAGCAGCCAACGTTTAGCTGCATCCCTAGCTCCAGGAACATGGGAAACGATAATGTGCACTGTTTTAGCTTGTTTTTAAGCTCAGCACAATGATAATAATTAGATCTTACAAAACCCTCTCAGTCAGCCTTGGCCGGGATAGTATTGTGATGCAGCAGCTTTAGTTTGGGTCTTAAACATCCTCCAAAGCCCATCCATGGCTGCACTCACAAGAAACAGTAGAAACTTTAAGAGGTGAGGCCTCAGGCCTCATCCAGGAGTTGATGGTGCATGCTATTAGTCCCAGCACTTGGGAGGTAGAGTCAGGCAGATCTCTGAGTTCGAGGTCAGCCTGGTCTACAGAGTGAGTTCCAGGACAGCCAGAGCTATGCAGAGAAACCCTGTCTTGAAACTGCCCCCAAAGAGGTGAGACCTCTTGGTAGATCTTCAGAGATCCTCCTGATCCTCCTCATCCTCAACTCTTTTGCTTCCTTCAAGGTAAGTGATCCCATCCTCTCACACTTCAGCAGGCTGTTCAGCCTCCATAAACTTCCTAGGCGATGCCACATGTCTCATGGGGGCAAACCTATCTCAGGTGGAAGCAGTGTTCAGTCTCCTGCTAAGGACACTGACTGGCCAGCATGTGGTCAGAAGTGAAACTCTCTCCCTTGTGGGCAGAGTAAGGGACATCACTCATTTTCCGTCAGCAAGAAACCCCCTGGGCCTTCTGGCTCTGGTCTGAAGTCACCAATGAAAAGGACCTGGGTTCGAGCAGCGCATCTTTTCCGGGTGATGGGAGGCGTCTGTGTCCTGCTCATAGAGCCCTGCTGCCCTCTAGCTGAGCGAGAGCACACGGCGCCCCAGAATTACCTCAGCAAGAAAGCCTTAGTCTTCTTCAACCCAATGACAGTGCCCTCTTCTGAGAAATGGAGTGCACCAGAAATTGTGTGTGTGTGTGTGTGTGTGTGTGTGTGTGTGCGCGCGCGCGTGAGCATACCTTGCCTCCCTTGTCATTGGTTTCTATATCCTCTCAGATCCAAAATACCACCTGGTGATTCACTCTGGAAAGTTCTTCCCTGGGCCTGGGCAACTGATTGTCTTGTTGATGTTTCTGAGCAGGCTCCGCTTCTCTTGTCTTTCATTATTATCATTATCTGAGGAGTTCACACATACATCTGTGTTTTGATCTAATTCAGCCACCTATGCCCTTCCCTCCAATTTCTATACTTCCTTTCCAACTTGATGTTTGTTTTTTTTTAACCAAACCTGCTCCTTTTGAGATGAGTGAAAACTGCCATAGCCATAGTGAAGCGTATTTTCCTTTATAAATGATCTCCTGAGTGTAAGCTATGCCACCATGGGAGGATCCTAGACTTCAGCTGGAGACACCGATGCGTATAAAATCCCATTGTGCTAGTTACCCTTCTGCGGCTGTGATGCAACAGCACGACCAAGGCAGCTTACAGAATAGAGTGTGCTCTGGGCCTGCAGTTCCAGAGGGTTAGGATCCTGCCGGGGAGGACAGCAGGCAGCAGACATGCGACAGGGACTGTGAGCGGAGGGCTCACATCTCAAACTGTAGGCAGGAAATAGAGAGGGTGAACTGGGAAGGCATGTGGCTTTTGAGACGTCAGTAGTTTTATACTCTTCCAAGTGGTCACACCTCCCAACCCCACCCAGACAATGCCACTGGGAGCCAGGCTGATCCAAGGTTTTCTTAGAGGCCCCCATGAAAGGACAGACAGGATGGTAGTTCTGTGTCCTTGCTCAGGTGTGGGCATGGCCAGGTCTAGTCTGGGCCTGGGGCCAGGACCTCAAAGGACTTAAGGTTTTGGTTCCTGGGACCCTGGTTTTTCCCTGAAGAAATTGGAATTATTAGTCCCCAGGCAACTGTATGCTTGATCTATGACACCCTTGAGCTATGCTGTGTTTCTTCCGTGTAATATTGCTTGATTAGCTTCATCCCATTGTATGATAGCTTTCTGCAGACTCTGCCCCACCCCTGCTGCAAACTGTCTATAATATACATTAGTTCTTAATAAATTTGCCTTGGCATAAGCCATCAGCTTATGCTAATCTCCTGGTCCCAACTTTCCTAGTTTTGTTATTTTTCTCATCCCCATCCTGCCCCTTAGGAGCCTATCATTGAAGATCAGCCTGCTGGTTCAGGTCAACCAAATATTCAAAGGCCCTAGACTATAGGAAGACATTCCCATTCCAGCTACCACACAGGTTAAAATGTTTGGGTTTTGTTGTTTTTATTTGTTTGTTTGGTTTTGTTTTGTTTTTGTCTGTTTTTGTAGCTAGTGGGATCTCCGTTGATTTTAGTTAAGCCATTAAACAATTCACTATCTTTACAAGTTGTTCCTGGTTTTTACCGTCCTGCAGGCCCAGCTTTAGTGCCTGGAGAGCTCCACATACAATCTACCTCCCGAGTCCCAGCTCTTCCATCACACTGTATATGTGTTCACGGTCCTTCTCCGCCTGGGCATCTTCCACGGCAGCCTTTGAAAGCCATTGCTCTTGCTGATGTTCAACATTACACACGCTAAATATAGGGAGAAGAAAGTAGAAAGCACTCCAGTCCCATTATTTACAGATAGTCACTTCCTGTGCACTCTTGCTGGGGAGACCCCACTTGGACTCCATGTGTCCTATCTTGCTCTTCTAGGTACCATGGTACAGCCACGACCCACTACCTTCCTAAAGAATCACAGAGATAAATAGCCTTCTCTCTCATTTCATTTTAATTACATTTATTCAGTTAGTGTCTTGGGGTGGCGCTCATGACCCAGCATCTATGTAAAGTCAGACACCTTACAGAAGTGTCTTCTGTCATATAGACCCTGGGAATGAATTCAGGCTTGGCTGCAAGCACCTTTACCCACTAAGCCATCTTATATACCTAGCCTTCTCTTCCAACTCTTGCACATTATGCTTCTTTGCCTTTACCCAGGAAATTGTCAGGGCATGCAGGTCATCAGTGAGAGGGCAGGGTAGAAAAGCTATATTCTAGGTGCTTGCCAAAAAGCCCAAGCTCCAGCTCACTGTCACTCAGTTTTAGCAAATTTTAGCCTTCATGACAAGATTAACATTTAAGGGATTATTTTGCTGACTCAGGCAATCTCAAATCCAGCCCTGGTTCAAGAAAAAGCAAAAAGCTAGATTAGAGGCTAGAAAAAAAATTCAAATTTGCTTGCATTGTTTGAAATAAAGCCTAAGGTTTGTTTTGCTTTTGTTTGTTTTGAGACAGGGTCTCTTTCCATAGCCATGGCTTTCCTGGAACTTGATATAGGGAACAGGTTGACCTTGGGCTCACAAAGATCCTCCTGCCTCTGCTTAAGTTAATGGCCTGTGCCACTATTTCCAGCAAGTGTAGGTTTTGTTATATGAAATGCACTGTTAGATGCATTAATAAGAATGAAAAAGACTTTGAATTAATAACATAGTTTCTAACACCACTACCAACCCTCCCACGTACCACATTAAACATCAGAATAATCAGGGCTACAGAGATGGCTCAGTAGTTAAGGGTGCTTGCTGCTCTTCCAGAGAATGGAGGTTCAATTCCCAGAACCCACTGTGACTTATAACTTTCTGTCTCATGGGAGATCCAAATCCGATACCCTTGTCTGGCCTCTGACTCAGACACTGCATGTACATGGTTCACAGACATACTTTCAGGCAAACCACCCATGTGCAAAAAGTTTAAATATGGGTGAGAAAACTGGATTTCACAAAGAATATTAACTCTTCTATGTTAGTTGTTTTTTTTTTCTGAACTATATTTTTGTTATAACTTGAGCTCATAGCAGGACTTTTTAAGAGGAGAAGAATGAGTTCCAGGCTAACCTGGATTATAGAGTAAGAAAGAACCAGTCTCCAAAACCAAAAAGTTGTAAACTTGACCCCGAGATGGTATGAGGTCGTAGGTCCTGGCTGCTTTGTGTTTACAGATGTAAATGTATATTTAAGTTGCGATGCTGCCGGTACAAAGAGAAAAGGGTTGATCATGTTTGCTCATTCTATTGCTAGGTTTGAGATGCTTGATGCTGCAAAGAACAGGCTCCGGGTGAAGGTCAGCTATTTAATGATTGCCCTGACAGTGGCAGGATGCGTCTATATGGTTATTGAGGGCAAGAAGGTAAGAGCCGGCTCCTCTCTGTCTCTGCATGCTTTCCCCCAAAGATAAAGAAAACCACCATTGTCTCCTCAGTTTAGTCTGAGAAGGCAAAGGTCTAAGAAGAAGAAGAAGCCACTTTTACTGACTGAATGCTTACTGCATGTCATGCTCTTCTGAGTGGTGACCTCATTTGTACCTCACAACAGCTTTGTTAGGTAGACGCTTCCTGAGATGAGGAAACCATAGCTTAGGAAGCTTTAGCAGTGGGCTGATGAGGGGACTCAGGAAGCAGAGGCACTTGTGTTTAATCCTTACATCCCACAAGTGGCAGGAGAGAACTCCTTGTAACTGTCTTGGCACTTCCTCTTGTACTCCAAAGTACGTGTGTGTCTGCACACAGAGAGAGTAAAATAATAATTTTTGTTTGTTTGTTTTGTTTTGTTTTTCGGGACAGGGTTTCTCTGTGTATCAGTCTTGACTGTCCTGGAACTCGCTCTGTAGACCAGGCTGACCTCAAACTCACACCTGCCTCTGCCTCCCCAGTGCTGGGATTAAAGGCGTGCACCACCACCGCCTGGCATACAGCACCTGTTTGAAGTCAGATGTGAGAGCCTGAGAGAAAGGCTTTCTCATCGCCATGCTCTATAATGAAACTGAAGTTTACACATGCACCATGCATTTTCCAAAACTCACATAGTAAGTGGAGAGATAAAAACTTAGATTTAAAAAAAAAATCAAAAGGAAAACAAAACTTTAGATCTGATTTTTCATGTTACCAAATTACCTATTATAAACTACCTTGTTATTAAAATTTGGTTACTTTGGGGGCTGGGAAGATGGCTCAGTGGTTAGGAATATTTGGTGCTCCTGCAGAGGACCCAGATTCACTCCCCAGCACCCACGTGGCAGCTCATTACCAACTATAACTCCAGTTCCAGGAGATCTGCTACCTTCTCTGGCCTTCACACGTACCAGACACACATGTGGTTACATGTACACACATGCAGACAAATATTTATACCCATAAAATAAAAATAAGTAAGATCTAAAGTGTGTGCATTCAAATTCAGGAACACACCTTGACTATCATGTCTAATTCCGTGTCATAGCTTCTACTTTTAGAGATATCTTTTAGCTGTTGTTACATAGTAAAAAGAGTCTTCAGCCAGGTGTTAGTGCCTTTTAATCCCAGCAGTCATGAGGCACAGGCAGGAGGATCTCTGAGTTTGAGGCCAGACTGGTTCCAGGACAGCCAGGCTACACAGAGAAACCCTATCTCGAAAAACTAAAAAAGAAAAATGATTTATCTACGAACATGCTTGTCAACTGATCTCCTTATCCTGAATAACTCCAGAGAGAAGAGGACATGAACTCTTGACTCTCTGTGCCTTGCAGTCACATAAGAATATTAGCCATCTCAGTCTGGCCTCACAGGAGCACAAAGGGGCAAGGGTGCTGACCCAAGTGACGTTCTCTTGGAAATGAGTCTGGCCTACTTCCCTTTTCCTGTCTCCCCATTTGACCTCTCTTTCATATTTCTCAGACTGAAACCTTCAGAAGCCTGTGCATAGACATGTGGATGTCTAGAATTCGGAGAAATACTTGATGTTAAAAATTTCCAGAAGCAAATAATTCCCCTAGGGTATCCTCCAGCACCTTCCAAGGGTGTGTGCTAGAATGAAACCTTTAGAGCTAAGTGTCATTAGGAGAGCTAAGTTAGTTACCATTCTGCTCTGTCCTTACCAGTGACATCCTTCCCCATCCTTTCCTCCTCCCATCAGATGCTTCACATGTGAAATAACAGGGGTGCCAGAAAATCCCAGTTTCTGTGGCTGCAAGATTCACAACCTTGACATTAAAACGGGCCCGATTCTATAAGCTTCATAGAAATTTAACAGTTCACACTGAGGGAAGCAAGGAAAGTGACGTTTGAGGATAGATCATTCTAGAAGTCATCATGGGTAATATTTTGGTAAAGCCTGGGATTCCCAAAGCTAAATGTTTTTGTTAGAAGAAAGGTGACAGAAAGCACACTCACGAGTTAGGGACGGAGAAATGAAAACATGGAGATGGAATGGAGGCTCCCATTATAAATCAGAGTGAAGGGTGTGGGGGAAAAGAGATGGGATTTGGAGAGAGAGGGCATAAGGCCGAGAAGGGAGAGCCATACACTTCTCTCCTCGGATGGGTTGGACACTCAGGTCAGAATAGAAGGTGTGCACAGGACTCTGCTGTGCCCAGCAGCTGGCCACTTCCAGCCTGTGCTGCGAGTCAGCCTGCTGACGTCAACTCAAGGGGAGGACATCTTCCCCAGCCTGGTGTCATCGTCTCTTCATTTTTTTTTTCCTTTTAGGCAGCGAAAAGACATGAGTCTTTAACAAGCTTGAACCTGGAAAGGAAAGCCCGTCTGAGAGAGGAGGAAGCTATGAAGGCCAAAACAGAGTAGAAGGATTTGTGCTGGATTTGGAAAAGCTGGGAGTAAGGTTGCAATAACAAGCGTGCACTGGAAAGAATGTGGTACGGCACACGCTTTGCACAAATTTATTCCACCTCCCCACTTCTGCTGTAGAGGAACAAATACATTTTCTTAAAGAATGACTTGTCTGTGTTTTTGTTTTGATCCAAGTAAGACATTGCCTCCCCATGTTTAAGAGAAAGTGAAAAAGAGGCAACTAATTTCAAATTTAATATTAACTCTGTGGAGCATCAGGTACCCACCTAACTTCTACTCACAGACCAGGCCAGCTACCACCTCCTAATTCATGGCTTGGCTCCAACTAGCCCCTTTGTTACTCCCAGGGAATTAAATGTTATACTTACAAAAATGCCATCCCCATTCTCGTTTGTTAGTGTGGGGAAGTAAGCACTTATACCCTGTGTTTCATTAGAGTTCTTAGGCTTCCACGGTGTCTGGTACTCAGGTGTCCTCTGTTTTATAAGATTCCAGTGACTCTCACATGCCTCCCTAGTGCTAACAGATGATGTCATTATAGCCACCCAAAGCACTACTTCTCAGAGTTAATAATTGTGATTTTAAAAGTGTCATGTGCCAGCCGAGCAGTGGCAGCACACCTTTAATCTCAGTACTTGGGAGGCAGAGGCAGGTGGATCTCTGAGTTCAAGGGCAGCCTGGTCTACAAGAAAAGAAAAAGTGCCACATGCCACTGTCTGGGAACTTAATACATTTGCAATGGAATGTTGCCAGTAGCTCCATGATCTAATGTTCTTGATGCTGTCTGATTACTGTACTTTTGCCTTTGTTTCATTTAGGTATAAATGCTTTGATTTTTGTCACTTGCAAATTTTCTTGTGCATTTTTAGGAAATTGATTTTTTCTGGGTGGCAGTGGCACCTTTAATCCGAGCACTTGGAAGGCGGAGGCAAGCGGATCTCTGAGTTAGAGGTCAGCCTGGTCTACAGAGTGAGTTCCAGGACAGCTAGGGCTGTTGTTACACAGAGAAACCCTGTCTTGGGGGAAAAAAAAATGAATTTTTCTTGAGTAATTTGGGACCCTTTTTCCAAGCCCATGTTTTGAATACTGGTAAATCCTAATATAGAACTTCTTTCATATAGCAATGCCATTTTCACTGAAGAGCAGAGAAAAGTCTAAAAGTTTGTGATAAAGATACACCACTAATTTATGCAAATCATTTTTTATTGCGTGTAATTCTCTATTCAGTAAAATACCATGACTATTTCTTTATGACTTTAATTTAAACTCTTTATTTTTTCACATTAATTTTATCTTGGGGCTGGGGATGTACCTACCCATCCACAGAGTGAATTTTGAAGTCCAAGAACAACCTGTAGGAATGTGCTCTGTCCTATGCAGGTCCCAGGGACACATTTTAGGTCATCAGGCTTAGCAGCAAGTACCTTAACCCTCTGAGCCATTTCACCTATCCAAATTTAAATTTTTTGGTCAGAATTTCAGATATGCTCCTTACTGACCTTGCACCTTGCAATGTAATCAAATACACCAGTATCTTGACTATCATATCCCCTATAAGTATGTATGAGAATATATTTAAGATATATATTCAAATATATATTTGAAATATATGAAATATATTTCTCAGAATTTGTCAGGAAGATAAAATTCTGCCCATGTTACTTTCAGTGATAGTCCTGCAGTATTATTTCTTAATCTCAGGGTTTTCATCTGCATGTTTTTCTATATTTTCTATAGAAGCCCCATGTGGATTCAGTTAGTATATGGGTCTGAGGTGTTGGTGGTATAGAGATTAGCATAGCTGCCTTTCGGTTAGTATGTGGGGCTACCACAAAATATTTCTCAGTCACTATTAGAGTTTGAAGAATTATCATTAAAGTCTATTGACAGCAAGTAAGGAATGAAATTCTGGCACCATTCATTGTCCAGTAAGAAAGTCCTCTAGAAAAAGCCAAGGCTACAAAGACAAGACATAAAGCCTGATTTTAATACTTCCTGTCTAGTTAATACTTGGTCCATGTGATGTGGGAGTCCCCTCTGTGTGCTGTGATTACCATTAATGAATAAAGAAACTGCCTTGGCCTGTTGATAGGGCAGAACTTAGGTAGGCGGGAGGACTGGACTGAATGCTGGAAGAAAGAAGGCAGAGTCAGGGAGATGCCATGGAGTCACTGGAGATAGACATGCTAAAAATTTTGCCGGTAGGCCACGAATTCGTGGTGATGCACAGATTAATAGAGATGGGTTAAATTAAGATGAAAGAGTTAGCCAATAAGAAGCTAGAGCTAATGGGTCAAGCAGTGATTTAATTAGTACAGTTTCTATGTGGTTATCTCAGGGCTAAGCTAGCTAGGAGACTGGGAGGAACAAGCAGCCTCCTTCTGTTACAGTCCATGATGCCATCACAACTGCAAGGTGATAAATGTAAACCCTGAGCTTTATAAGATGCAGTGAAAAGTTGGAAAGCCTCCCTCAGCTCCCACTGAGGGCAGACAAGCCACCATAGTATTGACAAGGTGAGTTCTGAATTGAATGATGTTGAGCAGGAGTTAGGAGGCCCAGTGCTAAAGAGTGGCCTCAACCTGACATAGAATTTCCCTGAAAAGCACAAAATGGCACAATCTAACAAAATATTTAAGGAGATTTTTCTGTTAAACATTTAAGGTTCTAAGGAGGCAGAGGCAAGTGGATCTCTGAGCTTGAGACCAGTCTAGTTTACCAGCCGGCCAGACCTACAGGGTACGGAGCAAGACCCTTTCTCAAAAACGATTTAAGATTCTGGGCCTGCTCAGAATGAATAAAAGGCCCTGTTGAGAAAACCTGGCCTGAGTTCATTACGTGGAATGCACAGTGGAAGGAGAGGCCTAACTTTGAGGGTTGTCCTGACCACAACACAGGCAGAAGTGTAAGACTTGTAGACTGAACCTGACCAGACTTACTGTCCCCAGCTTGACAGATTAATGTGGTAATAAGATGGTCCATCATATAGAATAACACCAAAAATATGCAAGTGACATGGAGAACTTCGGTTCTTTCCTTCCCCCCTTAATGCATGCCATCGTCCTTGGTGACCTCCCAAACAGAAACTGTGTCCCCCTCCCCTCGGCCATCCTGTTCTGTCAACCTTCTGACTACTCCAATACCCTCCCCTCTGAGAAAGCTGCTGAAAGGAAAAGAATGAGATGCTGTCCAGGGACGAAGACATGAGATTGACAACAGGCCTCAAAATTAAGATCAGAAGCCGCAGGTCCTAGACTGGCTTTTACACTGGTCTCATTTCGCAAATTAAAATGTCTCAAACTCATAACATCAAAGACAATTTGACAAGAGCTACAAAACCACGCCAAACTTCAGAGAAGTCACCCTTTCAATTGTTTGACTTAGTTCACACACCGGTTGATTGCCAGTGACTTCAGAAGTCACTCGTCCACACTTTGATGGTTTTGTCATTTTCCAATGCCGCTGATGCAATGATGTTTTCTGTAGGGTGACAAGCTGCTGAGATCACAACATCTGTGTGACCTTGTAACTTCTGTGCAATCTCTTTAGTCTGAAGGTTCCAGATGTAAACCATGTTGTCCTCGGAGCCAGACACAACCCACTTTCCACCAGTCACAGAGAAACTGGCAAATATACAGTATTTCTCATTCTTATGGCCGGTGTATGTCTTCAGGCATCTGCCTCTGCTGTAATCCCACAATTTAAGAGTATTGTCCAAAGTTGCAGTGAGAATATATTTGCCATTTGGAGAAAATTTTACAAAAGACACAGGAGGGTTGCTGTCATCAGCGAGTGTTTTTAAACACTGGCCCGAGGCAGCATCCCAGATTCTACAAAGACCATCATAGCTCCCTGACACTATCAAGGACCCACTGCAATTAAAATGTACGGCGGAGATGGGATCCGAATGAGCAGACAAGGTCTTGAGGCACTTTCCTGTTTCCACCTCCCATATTTTCACACTCTCATCGAAGGACCCCGAAACGATGAGGTTGGATGGTGGGTTGAAATTACAGCAGAAGACGAAATCACTGTGTCCCTTTAGTGTTCTCAAGCATCTTCCAGATCTCACATCCCATAACTTTAGAGTCTTGTCGTCTGAGGCAGAAACGAGACGACTAGAATCCGAAGACCAGGCAACATCCGATATTTCCAGATTATGACCACAGAGTGTTTTCTTACATTTCCCATCATATGCTCCCCAAATTATAATTAGCGTATCAGCGGCAGAACTTGCTAGCCATTCTCCGTTGGGACTAAACTTAACTGATGCTATGGCCGCCGAGTGCCCCTCAAGAGTAAATCTGACAGCATAGTTGGGTTTCTGCGGTTCTCCTGCCTGCTGGGTGGAAGAGCAAAGGGCCGACTGCTGTGCTCCCTCTGCTGGGGGATGTTCAGTCGCCATAGCTCGGCTCTACAGTTTGCGCAGGCGTCCGGCCCCGAGCCTCGCAGAAGAAACTTGCCATTCGAAGGCGCACCGTTTTGATTGTAACATGAGCTTGTCTTTCGGGTCAGCACAGAATCAGCAGCAAGGTCTGGACCATTCTCCTCTCGGTCTCTTCAGTAGCATCAGACAACCGGATCACAGTGGTTCTGAGATCGGCGCTATTGTTGGGTGTTATTAAAGGACTAGGCCGTTGTTCGGGGGTTAAAGGGGCTGCACAAAAAGTCCTCTTCCACGCCCTCTCCAGTTCCCAAGCGTCTGGGAACGGTGAGAAACTGAGGACGCCACACTAAACAGAATTTGAGAAGGCTCAAGAAGAGGCGGGGACACACCACAGCGCAGGCCAACAACCACCAATGGGACTTGCCCGACGGCGCCTGCGCCGAAGAAAGTAAACGTTTGCTTCCGGTCCTTCTGGACCCTGCCCCTGAACCCGGCTTTTTGCTGTGAGAGGCTTGGGTGCAGGAAGGGGCACGGCCCCGCCCGCGGGCACTTCACAAAGACATGTGAGTATAGCTGGCCTCTGCCCCCGCCCTCCTCTGATGCTGAATTTGGCAGCCACAAGATCTGCTTACTATGGCTAGGGAATGGAGCAGAGCAAATGCACAGATCGTAAAACTAGTGGCTTAAAATTCTTTTATAGACGTTTAGGAAACCCGAAGATCTACATCTCCACTTCCGCCGGTCAGTGTTGGCGCACCCCTTTAATCCCAGCTCTCAGGAAGCAGAGGTAGATGGGTATCTTGTGAGTTTGGGTCTGGTCTACTGAGAGAGTTCCAAGACAGCCAGAGCTTCATAACCCTGTCTCGGAAAACAAAACAAAACAAAACAAAACAAAACCGAAAACCAAAACCAAACAAACAAAAATCCCACATCTGTTAGAGGTCTTTTAACCCAAGGTTATTCCTAGTGGTGGTAACACACACCTTTAATTCCAGGACTAGGGAAGCTGAGGTAGATGGATATTTTGTGAGTTCAAGGCCAGCTTGGTTTACAGAGTGGATGTCAGATCAGACAAGGCTATATAATGAAGACCTGTCTCAAAAGACCAAAACAAACAAAAAACAAGGTTATGATGGGAGAAATCAGCAAACCTTCGGCTCTTAGCCCGGATAGTGGTGCTGGGTGTTGAGTCCAATACACACGTCACAAGTATGGGGGACAAAAGGTGCACAGATTTAATATGTGGGTAGAATTAGGAGACGGCATTTCCTTTGAAATGAGTAAAATTCACTTCTTGATGTGTAGGAGACCTTGTTTATACATAGCATCAAGGACTTATGGAAAGAAAGGCTAGGAATAGACTAGTAATCAGTACTAATGTTCTAGCAAGCTGTCCTAACAAATAACTAAGATTTGCTTAGCTCTTTGGGAGGAGCGGGTTCACCAACAGGGACTGAGAAACCCAAGGGAGCAGCAATTGGAGTGGGACCCTGAGTCCCTAGGCAGTGTTATGGTTATCCTTTTATAACAAGCTACCCTTCTCAGAAGACACAGTGGACCTGTTTCAAATTTCAGAAATCAAATCAGTTTCTCTAAATTTCCCTAAGTTTCCCATTTATAGTGCAAGAACTCATGTCTCTGCTCCTCAGTACTTTCTAAACAGAAATGTTGGAACTTTTTCTTTTGTTTAACATATCTCCCTATGGCCCTGGAAAGATTCCTCCATTCTATCTTAACTCTTGAAACTGACTTCTTTAAAGCAGCTGTTTGGACTACAAACCCAATTTTCCTACGCTTCTGCCAAATTAGGAAAATCTATTCCGATTAAATAGGTAAATAGGACATTTGCTAATGAGCATCAGTTAAAACTGGACATTTTTAAAGCTAAAGATGACAAAATCAGGGTGTCAATTGATGCATAAATTTAAAAGCACCACCTTCAGCACGTCAGTAGTCATTGATGACCTCTTTCCATGACACATCGTAATCATGTTACCCTTGTAAAATTCCATGCTCACAACTTGGCTGTCCAAGAGGACACTCCCAAGCCCTGAACTATTTTGTTTCACCACTGGTCTTTGGGGTTTTCATTTCCTCCTTACCTACAACTCAAATGGTTGTATGGTCCCTCCTCTGTGTTCCACTTGCTTCCTTGAGTTAAGGGCATACGGATAAAGATATGTAAAGCACAGCTTTAATTCTCTGCAAAAACACTGCATTACAGAGGAGCCTGTATACTCAGTAATTTTTCAAATGTAGGTGAAGCTGATGCCTGCCCATAATTCCAGCATTTCAGCGGTGGAAACAGGAAGACCAGCTCAAAGATATCCTCAACTGCAAAGCAGTTTAAAGCCAGCCTTTTTTATTTTATCTAAAAAATACTGCCCCACATACACCCCCAAAATGCAGGTGAAGCATGGGCAAAAATCAAGTTTTGTAGTAAATCTGTACATTCAGCAATTCTGTACTACAGATGAAACAAGTTTGCATGAACTGAAGCTATGTTTTGATTAAATCTTCACAAAAATACCCTGCCAGCAAATCTCAAAAGGAAAGTGGAAACAGTCAGACTTTTTGTTCACTTGTTACATAAGCCTGGAGAAATAAAAACATTTTCCTGCGATACAGAGTATATGAAAACATAAAATCTCAATAGCCTAGACACCTGCTTCCACATCAGTCAGTTACAAATCTTTCAAAATAATTTAACTTCATTTTACATGTGTTGGTGTGAAGATGTCAGACCCCCCTGGAACTGGAGTTACAGAATTTTGAGTAGCCATGTGGGTACTGGGAATTGAACCCAGGTTCTCTGTGAGCAGTCAGTGCTCTTAACCACTGAGTCAATTCTCCACTCAAACAAAACTTTAAAATATGCCCAAACAGACTAATGTTATCTGCTGTATCAAACACACTGGTGTATGTTAGTCTGTAAAATATGCCACGTAGCTTTTTGTTCTCCTCTGATGTCACAGACATCTGCTTTGATGAAGTTTCTTTCTGTAAACTTCAGGTCCTTTAATGTATCCTCAAATAAGATACTTTATGTTGAGACAATTGTTTTAATAGTTATCAGTTCTGATTTCAGCCAACTATGTGAAACAATTTCTCTGAATTTTCTTTTGTAATCAAGCATCCATTACTATCACAGATGTATATTCTTCATTCATTACTTATTGAAAATTTACTATGTCCAAAGCGTTTATCCATGGCCTGGCAGAGTGCGTTTAAATACAAAGAATCAATAGTCATTCCAAATCAAGTGTAGGAACACTCTTGAGAAAGGGCACACTATGGCCAAAATGACTTGAGGTAGGAAATACCCAACAGGTGAAACAAAAGGAGATGTCTACAGGAAAATATACTTTTTAGAAGTAGTAGCTTAGAGGGTCTTCTGTGACACCATTGCCTCCGTCTAACCCTTGCTGCCTGGTTTCGGGATTGCGAGCGTCATTGCTGAGACGGTGAGCCGGCCTGTGCTGCTTTGCACAACCTCCCGGCTAAGACTGAACATTGGGAGGAAGCAAAACAACTGGAGCAGAGGAAACACAGGACAACAGTACCGAATTTACTGCAGAACGATTCCAGTTTTGACGTGAATTATTTGGACTCTTCAGTGTTACCTGAGAGAAAACTCCATAATCATACCGGAAAAAGAACACACAGCCGTGCAGAATCTGAGCCGTGAAAACTTAGATTTATTAACCAAGTACAACATGTGCTCTCCTACCAGTTTCAGAATCCTTTACAGGAATTCCTGGTTCCTCCGGGTAGCTTTTCTGCACCAGCAGCGGAGCGGTGTATTTTGTGATGTCCTTCTGCAGGCAGAGGGTAAGGCTGTCCCAGCCCACTGCTGCATCCTGTCTGCCTGTAGTCCCTTCTTCACAGAATGTCTGGAGCGAGAAAGGCAGTTCAGGGTCAGAAGGTGGTGCTGGAACTGGGAGACCTAAAGACCAGGACACTTAGGAAGCTGGTGAAAGTAGAGGTGATGCAATGAAAACAGGAGAATTCTAGAAGCAGAAGCTCCCTCAGTCACTCCTGCGCAGACCACCAAAGAGGCAACATGTAACTTGCCCAGCTGAGAAAGGTACGGAGCCATGTGCTAATGTAGATAAGAATAATGGGATAACATAAGTTATAAGAGCTAATAAGTAGTCTGACCTAATGGGCCAATCAGTTTATAACCTTATGGAGTCCTGTGTGTGATTTCTCTTTGGGATTTGCTGGTTGTGGGGTACCGGGCGGGACGGAAACCCCAACAAGCCGGCCCCCTCATGTTACAGAGAGTCCTGGGGCTGAACGCTACAGAGCCCCAAGTTATCACCTGTTAGAAACAAGAAAGAATTGGATTGAAGGGGAAGAATGGTGTTTGGCAGACATGGAACTCTGGCCCAGAAACCTCACAGGATTGGAAAAGGAACTGGTTGGGAAGAACAAAGAGCCAGCTGAGCCCCTTAGCCCCCTTGTCATGTCCTCTGAGAACACAGCATCAACTGAGCCCCTTAGCCCCCCTTGTCATGCCCTCTGAGAACACAGAATCAACTGAGCCCCTTAGCCCCCTGATCACGCCCTCTGAGAGCACAGAATCAACTGAGCCCCTTAGCCCCCTTGTCATGCGTGCCCTCTGAGGTGAACAGAGAGGCACTTTCCCTGAGAAGCTCTTGGACTCCAGACCTTGAAATTACCAGCTCCAAGTCACTGGATGGTCAGGAAGAAAAGCGTCTCCACCTTGACTCCCCTGACTCTTCCCAAAGGTCTTACAGGGATCTCTCGCTTCCATGCTAAAAATGGTCAGAGACAGGGCTAGAAGTGTTCCTAGGCATGGATGAGGTATTATATCCTGCACCCAAGGCAGTCAGGGAAGTGTCTGCTAACCCTGAACTGCGGGATCCATGTCCTGACAGTTCTGAAGATGAAGAGATTGACGTGGTAAACTGGACAGAGGAGGATAGGCTGGGGCCTGGTGTTCCCTCTGTCTGGCCTGACCCCTCCTCAGAGTCAGAAACAGAGATTGATATACTAAGGTAGTGGAGGTGCAGGGCAGGGCAGAGCTCCTAGGAGGGTGACAGCCATTGACCAGCAAAAGGTTTTCTTGGGAGAAAAGCAAGCACGTGTCCCTTCCTGTCAGCACTGATCTCCTTTCCCCAGGTTTGTGCGCCAGGCAGAAGTTAAATAAGTAGCAATACCATGGATAGAAGATTACGAACCTGAGCTATTTCTTTGTAATTCATTTTTCAGTGACAAAATAATTGTGGTCCTCAACTCTAGTTAAGATATAGGAATAGTTTAGACGAGGCCTTTCACAGTTCAAGAGATCTGACAGTCACTGAGAATTCAGGGACACTGTTTGGGTTCCATTTAAAGAATGTCTTCGAAGGAATGAAGCTATGTTACATAGAACACCAGAACGAGTGGGATCTCAATTGCCCAGGCTGGCACTGAACTTTGATTCCTGCCTCAGTCCTTGTGGCTGGTGTTACAGGTCTGCCACAAAGTCCAGCCA